ATTAACACCTGCCCCCCAGCTCACCCCCCAGCAGCAGCAGCAGCAGCAGCAGCGGCGGTGGCAGCAGCATCGTGCCAGCCGTGTACAGCAGCAAGCTCAGAATGGAGTGAATGTGTGCAAGTCAGCAAAGAGTCAAAGTCAGTTACTGAGAGAGAGATAGAGAGAAAGAGTGAGAGAGCATGAATGGCCAAATATCTGAAATCCTCCAGGACACAGCAGCTACTCAAAAAGGACTATTGATGAGATAAAATGTGCCGAGCCAAAGGCATGTCCCTCCATCTCTTCTGCGCAACCCTCAGCCTCTGAATCTCTCTCACTCTCTTTCTCTCTCTCTCTCTCTTTAGCTCTCTCCTTTCCACCTTCCCTCCCTGCCTCCCTCTCTCCCTCCCTCTGTCTCATGCATACACATTCACAATCAGGTGGCGCAATGAGTCTCCTCTCGCTTCCCCCCTGTCACTATGACAACTGGGTACTTTGAGCATCCTGAACAGTTGAGACCCTGAGCAGGATGTTCACATACATTTGCACACACACACACACACCAGGTCAGACATCTGTTGACAAACTGTTTCTCCCCTGTCTCTCACTCACACGTACACAGTAAATCAGAGGAGGTTGAAGGAAAACAAACGTCACACTCTTCAATACTCTTTATGATTTCTGCTCTGACCATATGGCATTTCTGACTGTTTGGAGGAACCAAGTGGTTCCAGACACTGGTACAGGAATACATCACTGTCTACATCAGTGAGTGTTTGTACCAGACACTCTAGTGTGTGCTGATCTCCAGCCCCACCCACATGTTTCTGTCTTAGGTCACTGGGTCAGCCATAAAGTGAGGACAACAGACACCGTTGTATGCGACTAAACAGGATTCAATCTTAAATATCAACAGTACTACATTATGGTCTGGCGTGCTATTTTTGTGCCAGTGGCTAAACAAATAACTATTCACTTCTGCAGGTTTGTGCAATATTTGATACATCTTCTGACTTCACCAGTCTCTCTCTTTCTTTGCCTATCATCTCCTCTTCTGTCCTCTGCTGGCCCTGCGTCATCACTGGGGGCTGGCTGCCAGAGGAAAAAGAAATGAGGAAGCAAAGATAGAATAGGAGACAAAGGACGCAATCGTGAGCAAGACACAGGCTCTATTCTAAAGGTGACCTTTTCATTAGAAACACAGTGACTCTGGGACAGAGATTACATACAATCTTTAATGTTGATGGACTCAACCAATGTGTAGAAATCACCAATGTTTACCAAATGCCAACTAAGACTCATTTAAAGATGGTGAGTTACATCTTAACAGGCCTTCTGCAATTCTGTCCCTGAACTCATCCACTACGCTATAACAAATATATCAAGACTAATGGCCGTTACCCTCATACCGCTGACTAACCGTGTTATTTAGTCTAAGTACCAATCAGCATTTTAGCAAGAAGGGATCTGAGACCTCACTGTGCACAACTTTTAAAAGATGAAACTTTGAAAGTGGTTTCCTCATTTAGACCTAGGTCAGTGAAGTGCACACACATGCACCCGCACACACACACACACACACACATAGGTAATGAGCCACGGAGAGCAGATACACCAGAAAAACCAACAACTTCTCATCACTTTGTTCCACACCATTACAGCGCCACAATAGACATGAGTTTGCAGCTTTATTAGATCTGTAAGTTTCCTAAATGCTGACCTGCTGGTAAACGACGTTCACTCTCATAATCATGATGTCACAAACACTGGGTTGGTTTATTTTTGACATGATACCTCTTCAGTACATTCAACCCTACTTTGCTGTCGGGTTTGTTTGGCAATCAGTTTGTAAAAAGAGTTGTATTTGTAGACTATTATTGTTTGTCTGCAAAACCTCTTATAGTAATAATCAATGTGTGCCTAATGTACATAGCAGAAAACACCAAGTTGTTCTTTTTTTCTCCTAATTGTTTCATATAGATTATGGTGGTGGGGGGGTCTTGAACAGAGTAGAGAAATGAGTCTGTGTTATGTTAGGATTCCAGTTATTCAACCGCAGAGAAATATAAATATTTTTTTCCCATGTAGCTGCTCTATATCTCAGATAAGAGAGGACAAAAAAGGACAACTCAGTGAACAGGAGCCCATTCACCTATGAGGCCCAAAAAGGGGATGCAGTGAGAGGGAGGAGGTTTAGGCCTGGGTCGATGCATGAACCTTAAGCAGATTTGACAAACTCTGCTCCCAGCATGTTGGTGATCAGTGAACATGCAGACGCTGGGAATCTTAATTATGCTTGTGCCACAAGCTCACTGTTTGTAATGTTTACCACGGCTGATTTGTTTCAGGCTTATTTAGCACACTGCTGGCACACACACACTGTCACATACACACATAAAATCTAAGCAGAGGGCAGTGATTTGTTTTGAAAGATCCTGATGACAGCTGAATGGCTGGCAGCATAGAGAAGCTTCTCGACTTACCAAACAGGGGGAGACAGTGACTGATTGATTGATAGAGGAACAAGGAAGTAAGGAACAATCTCACAACACGACATGGAGTCTTTGACTAACTGTGCTGATGCACGGGGAGTGTTGACACAGTTTACACAGTCACATATACTTTCATTCTGTCTTCTGATTTTACAAACAGAAGATCATTCGCATTCCTATTATGATTAGTGCAGTTGCATCACAGCAAGAGTGTCATTGGTTCGTGTCCCCTTTCGGACAATGGCCTCTGTGAGAACGGTTGTATTCTTATCACGTTTTTTCATTTTTGTTTACAATAGACACAGTCAAAGAAAGCATTTGTGCTTTAGTTTGACGTCTAGGTCTTAGCTATTAAACAAGATGTGATCGGATGAGGGGAGCCATGGAGAGCTACAGCAACAGCAATGCATCTATTTGAATGAAGAATCAAAAGCCTAAAAAACAGGTGTCATATACAGTTCAAGAAAGAAAAAAAAAGAGAAAAAGAAAGTTCACCTCTGAAAGGATGGTAAAAAATTGCACACTATAGAGAAAAAAAGATTTTTTTCAGATAAGATGTTTATGAAATTGATCTGGTTCAGATGTGGAAAAGCAGGGAGAGAATTGGGTTTATGAATAATATGACTAGAGACTAGAGAACTACATAGAGTTTGCAACAATCCTCTAATGTTGCCTAGGTTACCACCACTAGAGGTGTCCAGTGGTGGGACAGACAAACAACAAATATATAATAAATAAATAACATCCTCTAGCAAACTATACAGTTACATAATTAACGATAAAGTGATAAAATCACTGGTTTGACCCCTTTTTGCGATTTTAAAGTATGAAATCATACAATATGAATATACCGTTGATTGACGTGTTGCTGTGCTGACTTGCTAAAAAGCCATTTTACAGTTCATCTCCTTTTTTAAATACAAGCCTTTTCTTTCTTGCCACTTCTCAAGGTCTTCATATATTTTTTTGTTCTGATCAAAAATGCAACCAGACATCTGCCTTCAGGGCTGGCGGTGCCTTCAGTGAAGGAGCACCTGCCACATTTTCTTTCTCCAGCCTGGGAAATCTGTCTGCCTCAGAGGCAAGACTAATGTGGTTAAAAGTTATCGCATGCAACGGAAAAGACTGCAGCCTGCACATAACAAAAGACAGACTTTGAGATTTGACTAATCAACATTACACATCATGAAGAAGAAAGGCTACTTAAATTAAAAACATAGTGTTTTCAAAGACTGAAATATGTTACTATACATCAATGTTAAATTCAACCTTTTTTGGCTATATAATAAAAATAGATGTATAGCAAAAACCAATATTTATCAAAGGCTTGTTTGTTAATAGTGCATTAGTAATCTGGGATCGCTTCCAGAGATGTAACATTTAAAGCATGGATTGTTTGCTTTTGACACTGTTTTGAATTTGTTCAGCTCCATCCTTTTCATTGGTATTCATGCTGCTTCCCTAACTATGCAACACTAAAGTCCCTACTTACAGCAGCGGCTTCACTATCTATGCTGACTTTAATCTGCCTTGTCTCCTTGGCCACGCAGCTCTGTGAGAATAGCTGCACTAGATTCCATCTGCAGATATTTGCATGAACACAAACAAGTGCAGAGCCACACAAGAAACGAAAACATACATTAAACACTCTCATTCTCACTGACCTAGTATTCGCTTGTAAACAACTTTATGGTTAGTTTGTTGGTATACTGTACATCATACACACAAACCACTAAAAAGGAATGCTCAATGAGCTATCTGGGTATTGGCAAGAATCTGGCGATACATATCACCATACAGGGCTAAAAATGCTTATTGGAGTCATCAGGTATCGTCATTCTATGATCTTGCATAAATAAATAAATCTAAATAATCTATATATAATATATAATAATAGCCTAATCTGATTATATTTTAAAAGATCAACATCTTACCTTACACTGGAGACAATCAATTATTTATTGTGACCATGAGCGGCAGCCTTATTTTACATACCATAATAATTCAATAATAATTTAGCTAATGATTTAAGCAGAGCCGTCACTAAGACTCACCTGCGACGTCACATTTGCTCTGAGGGGTGAAAGCTAAAGTTGCAAAGCTACAGTAGATTCACTCATCTCTACATTGTGCTGTGCATCCACAGTACCAGAATATACGTATATTGAGGTCAAATGCCTGTTGCAGCAGCTTGTTATGCACTGCAGCAGGACTGTTTCTACATCTACATATGTAACATTGATGACTAAGCATAACAAACAGAAGCATGGAGCTTTCAGAATTACATATACGTAAATGTATACAAGGTGAACCTGTTATAGCAATACAACGCAGTAGTAAAATAAAAAAACACCTGTGAGAAGCACATTAGATTTGACACCTCTTTGACATCAAACAATACTACGACAATAGTATTTGATTATTATATGATTATACTGTATATTGTATCGATACAGTTCTGTCAGATGATTCTCCCTGTCACGTGTAAGAGATTTACAAAGCAACAATTCCACACACCCCAGATTAAGGTGTAGGTTGCACAGAGCCACAAATGTTAAAGTCAAGCACAGAACAATATCACCGACCTTCTCCAGCTTCTCAAAATGCTCCCGCAGGAACTTCATAGGGCGCTCAGGTTTAGCAATGCACAAGTTCACGATGCACTCTTTCAGGATCTGCTGGATGTTGTGCTTCTGCACAAAAATCTCACAGCTCTTCAAACTTTCATCTTCTTCCAGGGTGGAGGAGGAGGACGAGGTGGCCATCATATCCTTTATCTCTGTGTGTGATGGGAGAGAACGTGGTGGTTTTAAATGCTGTTGCATGAAGTGTGATTACAATTAAGTATGGATTTGGACGAAGTTAGAAAATCAATATATTTTTTTGCACAAAATGATCTTTAAGCAATGACATTCACAGAAAACACAGCATGTAACCAAGTTACTTCTGTGCAGTTCTTGTATACAGTTTTTGCATTTACAAAAATAAATTCTAGTCTAATACAGAGGGTTCACTTTGCATAGAGGTTGCATCTGGTTGGCTACATCCATGGCACATCCATATAGTCCTAACATACAAAACGATGCAAAAATACAGTTTACTAAAATAAATTATGCACACCTTGTCGCCAAACCCAAATTATAATTATTGGTATTAAGCACCTAACAGCTATTTCAACACTAACATATGCAGTGTTATATGTATAACGGATCCTGAAGCAGAACAGCAGGTTGTTGCTAACTGTTAACAACACTGTTACTACTTCCTGAATATAATACGGCGGTGATGTGAATATTACTGCACAATAAATCACTACCCGATCTCACACTCGAATATGACATGTTATTTAGCGACTGCAGGTTATTTTCAGCAAACAGCATACGACTGTGGCAAATGGTATTTATTTGTACTGTACTGACTGATGGAGCTAAGGATGTTCGTGAGCACCTGTTCACTTACATTCACAGCTAACACAGCTAGCTCTGCTAAGCTTACAATGACAGCCAAACCACAACCGAGCATGAAAACTGCGCCTCAAGAAAGACGGAGAATGTGATGGATGCTTTTAACCGTTACGTGCAGCTGTTAGTGAGGGGGTGTCGTCGGTGCGAACCCTACCGTTGGTGTTAGTGGGAAGGATGCTGAGTGAGGACAGAGCTCGGTGGTAGAAATAGGCTGAGGATGCTGCTGCTGTTGCTGCTACGGCTGGCTCTGCGTCAGTCCCGATGACGTCAATCTGTCAACCGCAGCAGGAGCAGTAGCGAACCGTCTGCAGGTAAAGAACTTTAAAGGAAACGTCCAGTTAAAACACCACTAAAAGTTACTCAGGTCAAATGGGGAAGATGTTTGGTGATATATTTTTATACAATGAATTGTTGGTTATACAATAGTAAATGACGAGTCAGTATTTCAGCATAGCAACAGGAACAACACACGCTTGTATTATTTTTTTTT